CTGCACGAGGTCTGCTCAGGAAGGGTGTACTCTTCACAGACTCAGCATGAAGAAACTGAGGCAGCCTGGGATGCCAGAGACCTCTAGGCATTGTCAAGTGGCCCTGTGCCCTTCCCTGAAGGTTGTTTACTAAGGTGCTCCCAGGACAGTCCCGATCCCCTGTCCCTTCCTGCAGCCTGAGGCTGGTTCCCAGGTTGGTTGAGAGTCCAAGATCTCTGAAGAGGGAGACTTTAGGGGGCAACTTCCACAAAGGGGCAGATGGGGTGTAGACACTTAGAGGGATGGAGGTGGGTGCTCCTGAGAGCTCCATTCAAAGGGGAAATCAAAAAGTGGTGGAAGCAGCTTTACTAAATATGGGTCAGCACCTCCCAGGCCCCAGCGAGCTGACTCTCGTTCACCGTGGCACCCAGGATGCAGGTCCAGAGTCTTTGAGCCCAATCTTTGATCCTCTGAAGAACACACAATCGGCTTTGCATCTGCAGAAGGAGGTTTAGGTGGGGGTTTGGGAGTCTCTAATCGCAAACTTTGTCCTTAGGAGGCTTAGGGTCAGCACCGATCATTCAGGGAACCCAAAAGTGGCTTTGGAGAAGGGGGTTCTTTGGCGGGGTGGGGAGAAGTGGTGGGGGATCATCTATAAGAGGGATCAGAGGGCATGCGGGACATCCGTGAGCAAAATGTCAAGGGAGGAGGAGTTCTATCTCTTCAAGAACATCTCCTCGGTGGGGCCGTGGGATGGGCCTCAGTACCACATTGCGCCTGTCTGGGCCTTCCACCTCCAGGCAGCTTTCATGGGCTTTGTCTTCTTTGCAGGGACCCCACTCAATGCCACGGTGCTAGTGGCCACACTGCGCTACAAAAAGCTGAGGCAGCCACTCAACTACATTTTGGTCAATGTGTCCCTGGGGGCCTTCCTCTTCTGCATCTTCTCCGTCTTCACTGTCTTCATTGCCAGCTGTCAGGGATACTTCATCTTTGGCCGCCATGTTTGTGCTTTGGAGGCCTTCCTGGGCTCTACAGCAGGTACTCCAGAGGAAGGGGCTGGGGGAGGCAAAGGACACTGACTCAGGATCTGAACCAGGGGCCAGGCTATTGGCCTAGAGGGCATCCATCTCAAAAGAGGAGTCTGCAGGAGTTAGATGCTCTTTTGCATATTGAGGTACAAAGCCCAGACTAGAAATCTGACCATGTCTCAAACTCTTCTCCAACAATCGGTCCAACCTGTCTCCTGGTGCGGTGCTTGCCCCACCCTGTAATCCACCCCTGCCAGGCTGGGAGGCCTGTCTACCCCATTACCCTGTTTCACCATAGGTCTGGTCACAGGCTGGTCACTGGCCTTCTTGGCCTTTGAGCGCTACATTGTCATCTGCAAACCTTTCGGCAACTTCCGCATCAGCTCCAAGCACGCACGGATGGTAGTCCTGGCCACCTGGACCATTGGTATCGGCGTCTCCATCCCACCCTTCTTTGGCTGGAGCCGGTGAGAGCGCAGGGCAGTGCTGCTGACTTAGCTAGGAGCTCAGGTTGGTGTGGGTAGGAAGAGTTGGGTGTAACCCTGTCTTTGACCTCTACTATTTATTATTTTTTAATTTTTTTTTTATCCTCACCTGAGGACATGCTTATTGATCTTAGAGAGGGGGAAAGGAGGGAAAGAGAGAGGGAGAGAACCATTGATGTGAGAGAGAAATATCAATCGGTTGCCTCCCACACACACCCCACCGGGGGACCAAAGCTGCAACCTAGCCACATGCCCACACCTGGAATCAAACCCATGACCTTTCAGTTTACCGGATGATGCTCCAACCAAGCCACACCAGCCAGGGCTGACCTCTACTTTTTAAAGAACTGGTGGAGTAGGTGAGACAAAAGGCTATGGGAAACAAACGCCAAAGCTTACTGTACAGTTAGAATTGCTATACCGTCTGCTGGTAGGGACAGAAAACCCACCCTGCCCAGTTGCTGGGCACCCTCTGGGTTCTATTAGATAGGTGACCACCACCCAGGAATCTCAGCTCCCACTCCACATTCTTATGGTGAGCCCCCAAAGTGTGCCAAGTGCTTGTCCAGTAGGTGTTTGGTCCCTTTACAGGTTCATCCCCGAAGGCCTGCAATGTTCCTGTGGTCCTGACTGGTACACCGTGGGCACCAAATATCACAGCGAGTACTATACCTGGTTCCTCTTCGTCTTCTGCTTCATCGTGCCTCTTTCCCTCATCTGCTTCTGCTACTCTCAGCTGCTGCGGGCGCTCAGGGCTGTGAGTGGTTTTTGTGAGGGTCAGGGAGGAGCAGGGGGCTCCAAGTGAGAGACAAGAGTGGGTGAGTGTCCTAGAACATAAGATATCTGGAAATACCATAGCCAGGCAGAGGGGATATGTAAAAACAATGAAGGAAGAGGGGATAGGCAGAATGATGAAATGGAATGCAGAGTAAGGTAGAGTCACCCCTGCTCAAATATAGTTGTCAAGACATGCATATGATCCCTTCCAATGTCACAGACCAGAAAGCCGCCTCCATCCTGCTTTCCTCAATGAGGGAGAGCCACACGACTAGGCCAGATGCTGGGACAGAAGAGGCAATTGAAGCAGATGCCCCTCCCCCACCCCAGTTAGAGAAAAAAAGCCCAGAGATCTACAAGTTGAGGGATGAGAAAAGGATGTAATGTTTTCTCTGCGCCCGTCCCAGGTTGCAGCCCAGCAGCAGGAGTCAGCTTCCACCCAGAAGGCTGAGCGGGAGGTGAGCCGCATGGTGGTGGCGATGGTGGGATCCTTCTGTCTCTGTTACGTGCCCTATGCTGCCCTGGCCATGTATATGGTCAACAACCGTAACCATGGGCTGGACTTGCGGCTCGTCACCATTCCTGCCTTCTTCTCCAAGAGCTCTTGCGTCTACAATCCCATCATCTACTGTTTCATGAATAAGCGGGTAAAGTCCCCATTTATATTCCTATGACACTTTCTAGTCCGTAAGACCTAGTTCTTCTCACCAATGACTTTAAACTCAGAGTACCTTGGACTCTACTCAAAGGGTTAGAGGTGAACAGGGGAGCCATAGGGAGGAGGTATGGTCATCAAGACAAGATCAGAGAGCCCAGGGAAGACAAAACTTAAGCCACAAAACTCAAGTTGCTCCAAAGAGAAAGAGTGAGAAGGTTTTGTTTTGTTGACAAACTGACAGATCAATAGTTCCCCTACATTCTAGCCCTTCATATTCACGAGTTTTTCATCTTTTCCCATTCAACCTTGAGCCTTCAGGAGCATGTGCGAAGCAGAAATCACAACACATGCATAAAAACCTAAAGCAGCTTACCATCGGAAGGTACCAGGTGGTCTATCCCCCAAATCCTAAATCTGAGCAAAACAAAGAACAAAAGAAACCACACACAACCAAACTCAAATCTAGTAGTCTCTTATAGGGCAAACACCCTGCTTTGAGAATTATTTATTTGGTTTCTTCAATCCCAGAGCGGATTCAAAACGAATGTGAAACCTGCCTTTCCCCATTGGAAGGAACTTTTAGGAATGGGGGACCTGGTGGGTGGACCCAACAGCGCTCCCAAGAGGCAGGATGGTTTACCAGGATGTGTAGGGATTATCGGCCCTCAGGAGAGGCGAGAAGTCCTGGACTGGAATGTAACTCGTCTCAGAAGTGGGAAAATACACTCAACTCCCACCGCCCCCCCAGCATATCCTGGGTGTAAGGCATTGTTCCAGGCTTTGGGGAGACCAATGAGATTCTTCCCCTGTACTTCCTGTATTATCTCCTCCGTGCTGGGCTGCCGAGGGGGCTACCTCCAGCTCTGCCCACTCCTCCAGTTCTGGGCTTGCATCGTAGAGATGGTGTGTGGGAAGTCCATGACAGATGACCCTGACGTGTCCAGCTCCCAGAAAGCAGAAGTTTCTGTTATCTCTTCTAGCCAAGTTGGCCCCAATTAAGGCGCCACATTGGCCTATTTGCAGCAACTAGGATTTTACATTTAAGGACATTTCTACTTTCTCTGCCAAAAACCAAACTACTAACAATGCAGAAAACAGATGGGAAGGGGAGCGATGACAATTTGGGGAATCCATCTCCCATTTTCCTATTATCTTCCTACCTACAAAGTTACTATTCCAGCTGGGCCCACCTCAGAACACATCAGAAGCCATTTCAACAATCATCAGTTTCTACTCCTAAGTAGCAAGATTCACAGCACTTGGAAAATCGATCTTTACATACAAGGCAACTATGAAGGAGTATGGCTGTTTTCAGTGTATGGATAACAATCACCTTCCTTTTCAGTAACACTTTTTTTTTTTCCTACTGGGCATCCGTTCTGAGATGATACATTGAGAAAATATCTTAGAAATGGCAGAGACATAAAGAAATGTAAATAAAACCTTTAGTATACCCCAAATGAGTTTGAATTTCATGCTCTACATGCCAGTTGTTGCTATAGCTCCTGCAGAAACATCCAGGCCCGTAAGCCCCTGAGCCAGCATGCCTTACTCCAGGTGTTCTTTCCCTCTCCCCTTTCACTCAGCTCACCCTAAGTATGTCTTAAGGTGTATATTTACTGAAGGTAAGAGTCTAATTCACTTCACATTCTCAAAATACAGTAGCATTAAACACCCTGATCCCATTTACAAACTATACCAAAATGATCAAAAAACTCTTTTACCTTCTGCTTTATACCCCACCTCTCTACCCTCTGAAAAGGCCTTTCTGAAATAAAAATCAAGACAAATGTGTGCGCATCCAGGAAGGGCCTGTGTTTGGTATAACTATGTAATGAGCAGTGACATGGCTTATGGGAAGAGAGCAGGATTACAGCTGTAGTGAGGGGCTAGGCTTTAGGAATAGGAAGAAAGAGAGTATCAAACTTGGAAGAAGGCAGTAACTTCTTTGGGTTGAGGGGGTGTGCACGGTAAACCTTCGAGGGGAGCTCCTCTTCTGTGACATTACAGCAGTCATAATTCTAAGCAAGCATTCCGTTTCTTAGAATAAAGGGGACACATACTCCAGGATGAATGTAAACAGTTTTATTTAGAAACAGATAGGTACCTGTTTGCATTACAGAATATAAAACTTGGTTTACACTCTATAAAAAATAACCAACCTCCAAACTCAAGAGAGCTAGCATTCACAGGACACACAATGTGGGTGCGCGGCCACTGTCCCCCAGCCCCAGGCTTGGTTTAAACCAAAAATAATCGTCATCATCTCAGGGGATCATTAAAGTACAGTGTTGGCTGCTGAGCACCCAGCATCCAGAAGTTGCTGTCTTAGCAGATGAAGGCTCGTTTTCTAAATTGTGACTTTACCATAAGGCCTGGGTTCTCTGTCCTTAGTGAGTTGCGAGGCTCTCTCTAACTAAGCCAGGGTGGTGGCATTATTAGTTATCTCTGATCTTAACAGTAAAAATGGGGAATCTGGAGGGCAGAGAACTTCCATGCCCCCTATACTGGGGTTAAACTTAAACGAGTGTATCCACTCTCAAGAGCTCAATGCAAAGGCTGGGGTGAAGTTACACATCTGGCTTTTTACCAGGCCAAGTAGCCCACCTCAACACGATCATGGAAGACCAAAGGATACACGTAGGTTCAGGTTCTAATAATCACCCAGCACTGCCTGGACATTACTCAGAAAGATATATGAAATAATAATGGTTAGATATACATATATTTATCTTAGTAACCTGAGGGCTAAAAACTTGGGAATACAATAAATTCTGTCAAAAGAGGTCCATCTGTAAGAAAGGGACCAAAAAGGGTTTGTATTATGTAAAATAGGAGTAAAGTGAGTTGGGAACAGAGGACGGTTTCTTCTGCTCTTTCTACAATGCCCCTCTCTTTGATAAGGACTGGCAATCTGTTGATCCAAGATAAACTTTTATTTTGGCAGTGGGGAGAGGGAGTGACGGGGAACAGGGAGTGACCGGGGAACAGGGGGTGACAGGTCACAGGCAGGAAGGGTAAGCGATGGTCCTCACACCAAAGAGCCCTCTCCGTAGGCCCTCTCATCCTTGAGTCTGAGCTCAAGCTCTCCAGTCGACACAGAAACAGGCCTGGTAGTAAGTGGTTAGCATTCTGAGGTATGAGGATCCCTGGTAAATTCAGCAGCATGTGGTTTTTGGAAACCAGCCCATAAAACAAAAACACTGCAACTGAGCTCCTAACTAATACTGCTATCTAACCACTGTCTGAAAGAGAAGGAAAAAAAAAAAATCCCCACTACACTGGGAAGCTCTAATCTTTCATATAAGGTGGTCCAAATAATCTTCTCTTTATTTTACCTTAGAATTTAAGAGAATCCTCATTCAGTGATCATTTCTGTTGTTAAAGGCACTTTCAAAGACATGATTGGAAACAAGCATATTTTAATCTCAGTGAAAGCAAAATTAATTATTTGGAACACCTGGGGAAATAGGCGCCTAATGGGGCACTTACAGTGATTCAACAGACAAGACAGCCTTGAGCACCTCAACAGATGCACATCCAGAAAAGAGTGTGTGCCCCGAAAACACTTGCATTATTCCTTTAGTTTTCCAGCTGTTGCTATGTATAGCTCTGTAAAAAGATCATACTCACTACTTGATTTTCAAGACACTGGCCTTAACTCTTCCTACCACAGCTGTGCTTGACAAAATTAGCAAACAGCTAGTCCTACAGGGGGGGGGCGCGGGGGGGGGGGCGGAGATGAATGAAATCAGGTTGAGCCAAGCTTTCTTACAGCACAGGGATCTGCCCCTGCCCAGGTAATGCCAGGATCAGCTGCTGGCCCATAGCAACTGAAAAGAATATATGGCCCCTACTACTGATGAAATACACTTTTCAATAGGCAAGATTATTATCTCTAAATATAAACTGTGGGGTATATTTTTTCTTTTTTCTCTCTTCCAAACATTTCTTACTGATCTCAGGCTTAAAAAATGAGTTAAGTCAGAACTATAAAAATTACATGGTAAGTAAGGGTTGAGAAAGAGTGAAGGGCTACTCTTTGCCTACAAGTATGAGCTGAGGATCTTGATCCTTCGTATCATACCCCCAACCAGAGAACAAATATAAAAATAAACACACCATGTTATACATAATACAAAGTGTAAATCTACAAACACAAGTGTACTATTTAGTTGTTCCTCAGAAGCACGGTTTTCCTCCAGTCCCTCAGAGAGGAGAAGGAATGGGGACGGGATGGTTTTTGTTGTTTTTTTCACGTCTTAAAAAGTTTGTAATACCAGTCTCAGTAGCGCCAACAATTACACGTGAAACCAGAAGCTGTAAAAATAAATTATTTTTGGAGAAACGTGGGTTCCTCTGTCTGCAGCTCAGAACTCATCATGTCGTACTAAGGCCTCACCAAAATCTGTGGCCTGGCTGCCCACAAATAAATCATACTTGTCAACAATCTCCTCCTTGGTAAGCTTGCCATCCTGAAATGAGAGAAGAGTGAATTGAGGCAAATATATTTCCCATTCCAAACTTAGAAACACTGCTGCAGAACAATCAATAGTGGTTTGGCAAGATTTAAGATTCTAATTCCCAGTAAATTAAACATGAACTCTACCCTCACCCTCCCACCCCCAGCCCTGTACACAAACACACAGAGAGGGAAAATAGCAATTAATACCTTTTTCTTATCAAGAAAGTTAAAAGTGGAAGGCCCAATAACTCAATGCCAGAGACATAGGTTTGTTTCTTGAAGAGAAAATACCCACTTTTGAGCAAAATGTGGGACACCTCCTACCTAAGGGTAGATAGTCAACAAGAACCGGGTAAAATACTTCAGAGGGAATCAAGTCATTACCTAACAGGAACAACAAAATATGCTAATACCAAGTACAGTCATTCCTTCCATTACGCGCTAGCTACCAATCAGGTTCCAGACACAACCCCCAACGAAGACTCACACACTCATCTTAAAAACTATCTAGGACAGATTCCCAGGAGATGATTACATGAGTTTCTTTTTCTTACAAATCTCAAGGACATAGCACTTGGCTACTGAAGTGACTGAGCAAGAACTCAAAAGAGACTGACCCTTAAAAAGGCTTCATGATAAGAAACTGCTTTTGAAACTGAAGTCTTGATAAAAGAATGTTCAGAATACTAAAAATCCCCAAATTTAGATGCATAACACCACTATTTTAATGAACCAAATGCCTCAGATACCTGATCAAGGACAATTTTAACAAACTCCAGAAAAAGCTTATTTGTAATCTAACAAACTCCAGAAAAGGCTTATTTGTAATCTACTACAAAAGACTGAATTTTAAAAAGCATATTTAGGAAATGACCAGCTTTGAGTAGGCAAAATGAGCCTGTACTAGGTAAAAGAACAAAGGAAAAAAAGGCAAAGAAAATGTCCTGGGGATCCAAAGAGAACAGAAGCTGCGTGCTAGGCACAGGCCACATACGGAGGTTCTTTCCTGAAGCTTCAGTCCCTCCAATGCTGTGTGCACTGGGCACAGGGGTTTCTAAACTGAGATCAGATCGCTAGTGCTGCCCTGTACCTTCAACTGCCAACATTAGTTTGCTAGCAGGCTTAGGTTAATTAAGACCGTTAATGCTTTATGTACCTTAATAGGAATTTTTTAGACAATCCCCTGGAAATAGACTTCCACCACTGCTAGACTGTTTAGGCTTGGCCAGACTTACCTTGTTTTGGTCTGACTCATAGACTAGGTGCCTGGCTTCTGCCTCTGCATGATCATAGTCTGAGGGGAGGATCCAATCTTTGGTCTCTTCCTTGTCCATCTTCCCATCACGGTTCTTATCTCGAAACTCAACAAACTGTTCTCTCTCCGTCTTTACCCATTCTGGTTCATCAGCATTTCCATCATGGCTGTACATGTCACCTGTGTACACAGAAATACAGAGAAAAGATGGGGTTTGCCTTTTTCCAAAAACTGCCCTGCATGAATCTGGTCTAACTCTCCTTTCTCATCCAACTGTTTGGAACTTAGCAGCAGTTACAAGGGTATTTTAGGCAGAGAGAACTTAGAAAACCAAGTACAAGTATTCTCCTGAAACTTCATTGATCTTGCAACAAGAATATTTCCAGCTGTTGATTTCGAGTGATAAGAGAGTAAAGACAGTCCTTATAGCTTTAAAAAAAATGCAGAAATAAAGGGAGATGACTACCATAAAGAAAGATAAAGGCTAATTTTTACAAGACAGTTGTTTCCTACATTCCACTTTACTCCAAGGCAGCTAATTAAACCCAACCATGGGTTTTTAAAAGGTGCTGTTTTACATTCTTAAGAAAACCCAAAAAGTATGTGTTACAAGCCAAAACTGTCTACCAACCAATTACTAAGTATTTAGAATGTACCCCTAAAATGATGGACATTTCCTTGTAGAGCCATACGCCATTACCACATTTTACAAAATCAACTTCTTGTTATCTTAACACCCAGTCCAAAGCTGAATTCCCTAATCGTTTTTTAAAGTTGGGTTGTTTAGCCCTGGCTCTGACATGGCCCAGTGGACTGAAAGGTTGCTGGTTTGATTCCTAGTCAGGGTCCATGCCTGGGTTGCAGGCTAGGTCCCCAGTTGGGGAGCGGGTAGGGTGGGGAGAGAGGCAACCATTCAATGTTTCTCTCCCTCCCATCTTCTCTAAAAATTAAAAAAAAAATCTCAAAAAAAAAGAAAGTTGGGTTGTTTAAATTATTTATATAAATGATGGTGGGCAAGAAGTTGCTACAGTAAATTTTATGAGATTTAGTCAAGAGTTAAGGTACTTTTTTAAAAAGATTTTTTTTTTATTTGAGGGAAGCGGGGAGAAAGAGAGGGAGACAAACATCAGTGCGAGAGATGTTGACTGGCTGCCTCTCACACACCCCCTTCAGGAGACCTGGCCCAAACAGGCATGTGCCCCGCCTCAGGGAACTGAACCCGAGACCAGTAGGTTCGCAGGTGGGCACTTGTCCACTGAGCCACATCCCCAGGGCAATAGTTAAAGTACTTTAAAATGTAAATATTTACAGAGATTTTTCTATACAACTGTTTAAACTTCTATTTAAATAGTTTAGATGCCAATTTTAAGATGTGTAAGGAAATACTGTTGTCAAAATTCTTTCAGGAATTATGCGAATGAAAAAGTCTGAAGAATCCTGAGTTACGCTGCATCTAGGTAAGTGTAGGTACGCTTCCGTAAGGCATGGGAGCACACCTAGAAGTTTAAATAGTTTCTAGCAGTTCTAAGCAAAGGTGGTTATCCAGTTGTGACATGACAATGTTGATTTGCTGGGACCCACAAACTACAGGCTGCCCCAGGGGCCTGGGCCAGGACACGTCTTCACCTACAACAGCTGCACGGACAGGGACCGCCTCGCCGCCGTGGAGACCTACTTAACACACACGGATCGCAATACCCCACCTCAGGGTGCCTGATCCTCAAAAATAGGACCTCCAGCTTTGTAAGGGATGCCCGAACTCCTAGCCAATCCAGCCGTTTCTGTGTGGCCTCTTACAGCGCTCTACAAACGCGCTCCTGCCCCACGTCCTGCGGGCAGACTGCTCCACTGTCTGCGAGGCACTGTACTGGCCCAAAACATGGGCTGTTTTCCCTTGAATAGAGGACATCAAGCTCATTACTAAATTACATTATTCTTGTCATTTGACAGTTGGTCCTGTCACTTTCCTGAATTTGAGGCTTAAGAGAAGAACCTACTCCTGCCATAACACAAGGAGTTACTTCCCCAGTGGAGGACTTGCCAATTCCCACCCCCTGCCCCCCAATACAGCACATTCAAAACACGCATGTTTGTGTGACCTACTGAGCTAGTGACCTGCCCTAGCTGTCCTGAGGGTCAAGGTGACCTTTTATATTATACAGACTGGGAAGTTGTGAATTGGGGAGTGAATAAGTATGTGCTTAAAAGACATACTTTTAATAGAGGCTATAATATACAGCATAATGTCAGTGCATTTTAAAGCTAGATGAGATAAGAGTATTTAATTTTCTGTTTAAAAAGGATTCAATCTATACAATGATATTAAGGAATTACTAATTTTTTGATATTATGTTAAAAAGTTTTTAGGGATACACATGTATCTTAAGAGATAGTTAATCAAATGTTTATCAATGAAATGAAATGATGATTGGGATTTACTTTAGACTAATAAAGATGTAAGGAAGTAGGTATGGATTTGAAAGGACAGGCCATGGGAAGATGGCTATTGGAGTGGGGCATAAGCACATGGGATTCATTATACTATTCTATCTAATTTTGTGTATGTTTTTTGCTATGCTCTATAATAAATTTAAAGAATAAAATAATTCAACAGTATAACTGAAGACTTTTTATTAATGCTAAATATAAGAGTCAACAACCATTTGTTTCTTTGGGATCTCTCAACAAGAGAGCACATCCTAGAAACTGGAAAGACTTTTATCTTTACAAAGCCCATTATCTGGGGGTAAAAGTATTAGCATTAGTCGATGATTTGCACAAGAAAGCAACACATACACAGTCAACAGTTTCAGTAGTTTCAAGACACAATTCTCCTGCCCTGAATCTACGTGATGGGGAGGGAGAGAGAAATATCTCCTTACTTGGCCTCAATGCTTGATAAATGATGGCACTCAACAGTTATAAAGCCTAATTCATCTCCTCAGGAGGTTCAAATGAGTCCCTCAGTTTTACCAATGGTGACAAGATGGCAAAAGCCAAAAATAAAAAGATAAAATATGTAATAACAGAAAACGTCAACTCTGAAATGGGTTCAGTAAATGCACGCAAGCATTTATTTCCACTGTGCTGAGGAACTCCACTAAAACAAAACAAAACAAAAAAAAACCTCCTATGTTCCAGTGCTCATCTCTTTTTCTCTAAAAAACTCAAAGTACATCGAGTCTTAGGAAAGAAAAAGTGGTAAATTTTAAAGGATCTATTCAACCTAATAACCCTAGTAAATAAATAGGAGGTATAATTAAACAAAATTTGAGTAAAGGAATGATTGTTCAATGTAGTTTAAGTGTCAGGAGATAGGGGTAGCATTTAAAGCCTCCCTTTCATGCTTCAAATAAACATTTCAAGTAAAGATCAGAGAATTAAAAACAAACTGGCTTATGACACACAAAATCAGTGGCGCACTAGCCCCAGCCAGTATGACTCAGGTGGTTGGGGAAACCACTGTCCTCTAAACCAAAAGGTCATGGGTTCGATTTCAGGTCAGGGCATGTGCCTAGGTGGGTGTGTTTGGTTCCCCCGTCAGGGGTGTGCAAGAGGCAACCAATGGATGTTTCTCTCTCCCCTCCTTCCCCCCACCCCTCTAAAATCAGTAAGCATGCCCTCTGGTGAGGATGAAAACAAAACAAAAAAGCACTAGAATTAAGTTACTCTGAGTAAATATAAGAATGTGAAATACAAAATTACCTAGTATCTTTCAAAATTGAATGACATCTGTAACAAAGATATTTGTTATTATCTTTTATCTCCTCTCCTTTACTTAATTTCCATCATAGCAACTGTGAAACAATTTGCTCAACTACTTGGTAAGAGAAGCAGCTCCTTTATTTAAGACAATAAGGAAATCGTGAAATTATTCTGAGGATAATAAAAACAGCTTCGTTTGGGAGAAATTAGCCTTGAAGGTGTAACACCCCTCCCCAACGCCAAAATCTTTTTTAAAAAGACAACTACAAGGAAAAATGGCAGAAAAGGGCGACTTAAAAAAAAAAACCAAACAAACAATTGAGAACCTAAATGGAAAACACAAATAGAACGCCGTGAAAATGAAAGGCTTCAACAGGAATAAGCACTCCTGATCCTTTATTCATCCATTGGTCTCTTTTATTCTAGTCTCTCTATTCTTCTCCTGCCTTTCCTAATGCTAGACCAGGCTCCCCGCAACTCTTTAAAGTCACTTCCTAGGGCACCTGGGATGCCCTGTATCAGTGCTAATCTGTACAGCAGCCACTGGCCACATGTGGCTATCGAGGACTTGAAATGTAGCTGGTCCTGAGGTATGCTGTTGGTTTAAAATACACTTTTAAAGACTTAGTATAAAAAACAAAAACCCTCAATAATTTATGATAATGCTGAAGTTACAGTATTGCATAGAATATTTGGTTACATAAGTTACTGATATTAATTTCATCTGTTTCTTTGTAACAGTTTATTTTCTTAATGTGGCCATTAAAAGTTAAAATTATGTGTGACTCACATTTACATTTTGAATGGACAGTGCTATTACAGATACTTTACCACAACCCACTATTCCTTACACTGGTCTGGCTTAATAATGTGCTAAGAGTTGACCAATGGGGTAAACTGTTGCTATGGGTGAACGTATCTTCCAAAGCTTCTCAGCCTCTTCTAAGAGAAATGCCACAAACAAACTTACCAATATACTCTTCTAGATCAATGAAACCATCAGCATTCTTATCTATATCCTCCATTGTTTCCTAGACAGAAGAGAATAAGAAGAGACTACAGTTAGTACCTGGGTAAATTAGTTTTGGCAATTATTTATCATTCACTAAAACATACACACATATACATGTATATGTTTATATGTATGTTTGTGCGTATGGTTAAACCATAGGAAATTACTGTTTTTCTAGCTGAAAAATGATTAAAATATTATCAATGTTTTATGCTTTAACCTAAAATAACTGAGTCTTCTTAAAGGAATACTAGGACTGCTTAATAATGAACTATCCACCAAGCCCCTGATGATCTGGTAGTCATAATCATGCTGAAGTCACACTAACAGGAGATGTGACCAGAGAATATGCCTACAGAAATAGTCTCTATTTTACTGGTAGCTGCCTTCTGTGAGAATTACTCAGTATCACCATTATTACACAGTACCTGATTACTGGTCACGGGATATTTAAAAAAATAGGATTTTCTCTCATGCTTACAATATGAAGCCACCAAGAAATGGCAAAAATACATTATCTGATGATAAGTAATACTAAACAGAAAGCCCTACGCACCTAAGATAATGATTTGCTCATAGAAAAACTCAACCTGGCCAGCACTTAACATAGCAAGTCATTCTTCCAAATACAGAGGAAAGTCATAAAGGGCGAAGAGCTGTAAGTGACAAAAAGAGAAAGTGCATTTCTGTTGAGAATCCTTGCTCTTACCCACCTGTACTACTATATCTTTCATGTAGTCATACTCCTCAGGGTGCAGGAAAGCTGTGAATTCCTCCTTTGTGGCAATGAGGTCTCCATCCTTGTCTGCCATTTTAAACCTCCGCGCATCTCTAACCATCATCTGTTTATAGTTAAATCCATCATCAGGGTCTGGATCATCTAGAAAACAAAAATCTAGGTTAAATCTTAAAAGACTTCCAGAAAACATAAAAATGTGTGGGCTGCGGAATCAATTTCCAAGAAAGAGAAATCAAGCAATAAAGAAATAACTCTTGATTACACAAGTACAACTGCAGCAGTGTAGACATTCCGAACATTTTGGTAATCAAAGACCTCAAACTGAGGTCCAAATTGAATGTAGACGTTGCCACTCAATATGGAACCTGGGCTCCTGGATTATGTAACCTTTATGTAATTTAATTCTTCATAGTTACTGGGTACTGAGGTTGTTGGAGGGCTTGAGTTTTCCAGTTACACATGAGGGGCAGTGGTGGTTTTAAAGTCACACAGTCTGGGTTTGAATCCAACCTCTACTACTTTCTAGCTGTGTGACTTTGTGCTTCAATTCACTCATCTGTAAAATGGAGATGATAATGGTTCCTGCCCCAAAGGGCTGTTATGAGGCTTAAAATGAGCAAATAAATCTAAGTTAGGTACTTAGAACAGTGCCTGGCACATAGTTGGCTTTCGGTAAATGTTAGCTATTGCTATTTATTAAACATTACGCTAAAGAAGCTAAAAATCAAAGACCTTCTATCCCATTCTAGGCCACTTGGATTCAAGCAATAGAATACCACTTTGGAAGTAAGACACCACATTTAGGGTAAGGAACAATGGTTCCTGAAATCATTTATACTGACCAAATAAAAAAGATATGATACTAGCTTTATAAAAAGACACATAGGACCGCTTTCACAATAACATCACTCTGCTAACTTTTGATACTGTAGTTCATTCTTTCCATACTTAGAGCACAATTAACAAACAAAAAAACCAACGACTGCTCTATTTTGAGAGGTGAGAGAGGCGAGCAGCTTGAAGCTTCATTCTTTGTTGAATGTCAAAATTCAGTAAGACAGCTTACTGAATTATGAAGTGTTGGGGATTGATTTTATGTGTATGTTTAAAGCCACAGTAGGCTGAAGATGGAGAATTTAAGGGAAAAAAAATCAGTTCTCAGATACTAAGTTATCTTTTCTAAACAAATGTTTTAGTACCAACTACGTAACATAAATAAGAAAGATAACAGAAGACAACTTACACATCAAGACTAGATTCTTAGCTAAGAGCCCTTATCTTCTCCTCCTTGGAATAAAATACAGTGACTTGGAATCAAGGAGGAAAGGATGAAAAAGGAAAACATAAACTTTATTTTCAGTGACTCAACTCATGTGCCTATCATTACAGCTCAGAGCGCTTTATCTGTGCTAAGCACCAGCCTGCACACAGCTCTGGCTTGGCTCTTGATCTAGTTTTGGTATAAGCACTGCAAATCTTTGCTTTTTTGTATTTTACTTGTGGCAGAGACAGTGTTACCGGTCCTTTTGTGGAAAGGAGATTTATTATGGTAGATTTTAATTAAAAGCTAAGATGATTTATACTTGAACTCTAAACTGAATTAAGAACACACAAAACACTCCTTAGTCCTTCTGTAAGACAACGCATTATCCCGTGGGTACTGTCCACCCACACGCCTTCAGTAACAGATGCCTTATAAAGACATTGGTTCTCCAGCTAGTGCTTCAGCTTATGCAAAGTCCGTCAGTAGAAATACCCATTACATTGAATCATTTGCCCAGTGAGCTAACAGAGCTCTCAACAGATTTTTATGCACATAATCATACAAAAAGCTTAAGACTTTTTCTGGGCAGCCTAGTGAGTGCCTAGGTCTGAGCTGAGATTTATTAGCATACCATTCTATTTAGATTACCAATAACCTGCCTTTTGTTTTGTATTTATAATTACTTCCAAATAAATCAAGAGGGTCCCAGCCAGAGAACAAGAAGCACAAATGCCTCTATTTGCCCTGACTTTTTAATACACGTGCTCTTAATTGGGTGAAGTCTATGTTTGGTCTTTGGCTAAGTGTCAAGCTTGGAGACAGACTGCCACTTAAGTCTTAGGAATGAGAACAAGCTGACACAAATAAAAGTCTCTTCACTAGAAATGCATGCGGTCCTGTAATTAACATGGACAGCTGGCTATCAAGTGGGGACACCAGACCATTATACACCCACTGCCTATTAGTCAGGGGCGGAAAATGCCTGCTTTAACCCAGAAATTTGCCCAATTTCTGGGATAAAAAATACAAGAAGGAACATTTATACACTCTTGCCCCAAAGTGTAACTATGTACAATACAGGAATCTTACCAACAGAAACACCAAATCATCATCAACTAAGTAAGATCGCCATCTAGCATTTCCGAGCAGGCAAGGGTAGTAAGTAAAAAAAATTACTAATAGGTGGCCCAAGCACACAAGCTACCAAATCAACAGAAAGCAGTCAAAAAGTCACATTTATTTGCCCTGAAGCATTTGCAAAGCAGGCTGATAAACTCATGTGCCAGAGAAAACAAATGGGAAATTTTCATGTCTAAACTTCAGTAAGCAGACATACTGAAATAAATTTTATCAAGGAAAGCTATCTTGAATCTTTACTTTATTAAGGAAAAGATTAATTTTCCTCCTATTCTCACAAATTATACAGGAATCTAATTTGGTTTTAGTTTCAGGTCTAACACCATAATGTGACCGTGTCAACAGAAATCTCAAAGCCTCTTGCTTTGCATTGTTAGAACAACGCAGCCTTTTAACAAGATCTACTCTAGAACAATCTGAGGGATAATAGAAATAAAAAATGGTAAAATGTTATCTAAAATGCTAAAGATGCAGGAGATGCCAGAACCTTGAAAATCAAAATTAAACAAATTTTAAAAAATATATAACACACAAACTTAAAATTAACAGAATAAAGGGAAATCAGCTCAGCACTGAACTAAGGTAAGCCGTTTCTTCCTTTCCTTCACTGTGTGACCCATTTGTTTCTTTGACTCAAGACCATGGTCTCTGCCAGGCTGACATCTTGCCCCTTACCCAGGTAAGTGCCATAAGTCACGTTCCTGTACTCATCCCAGGAGATTAAGCCGTCTTGATTCATATCATACTCCTGCCATTGGTTTTCAACATTGTCATATATGTATTTCTTCTGGGCGTGCTTAATCCAGGATTTCAGCTCCCCCTCCGTCACAAACCCATCTTTATCCGCGTCTATTTTATCTACAATCATTCTACAAGACAAAACAGTTACGTTTCAAGGTGTCAGCTCCATAAGGCTTTTTCCCCTAGACAGTAGGGACCTACCTAAAACGTAGCCGTAGGTGGCATTTTTATATTCCTCCCAGGAAACGAGGCCGTCCTCATTGAGGTCATGCCCCTTCCACTGTCGCTCTACATCCTCGTAAATCCAGCGCTTTTGTGCAAATTTAATCCAGTCTTTGAGCTCATCCACAGTGACAAACCCGTCCTTGTCGCCATCTATTTTACTTACAATCTTTCTGTAGAAAATGCAGAGAAATCCAGCAAGAGGTTAAAAGGACACAAAGCTCTGGATTTATTTAGCCAGGTGTGTGCTGTGACCACAAGTGTTGCCTAAGGTTAAAGCATGGAAATAAAAATTGTCCCCAAAACAAAACTGCCAAGTATTTGGCAACTGAGTATTTTTCTCTTAAGTGCCCTGTTACTGGTCCGTTATGAGCCATCTGGATAAAGGCAAGCAGTCCATGGCTGGTTCACTTGGACCCCAAAATAAACCCATCTTATCCCACTAGAGGCAGGTTTCAGATGATGGTTAGGATTCAGAAGTGAATCTTCTCCATTCCTGGTATCAAACAACATGTGAATCTGCGTATTTCTTGATAAATAATCACAACCACTGGCATGGTTTTCTAAAAATTAAAAAATTTAAGCCAGACTTTAAAATATTCAGCTCCTCTTTTAAAAAGATAACATTTTGTTAAAAAATATAAAGATACCAAAAATAGTTCTGGGATCACATATACCTCAAGTGAAGATTATTTAAAAAACAAAACAGATACACAAAGACAGAGGCAAGTTATTTTAATAAGTGGCCAGCAGCTTATTATGCTCTGTGTCGAACTGGGTTTCTACACATACCCACAAGAACAGAAAACCCTGAGGAAATAATGTGGGAAGAATGCATATCTCTCAATATGAGAATGTTAATAAGCTGAGAGGGTTAGTGTGCAGATGATAAAGCAAAACCACAAAGCTTAAGAATCAATATACTTCACCCTTCATGAGCTGCTTTTTTCTAGATTTGTTATCATAATGTAAGGATTTCAAAACATGTGCATGATATGAAAATTCCTGTTTAAAGATGCAATCACCTACTCGCAGAGTCCAAGACAACATATGTTGAGTCACAGAACTAAGTGGCCCAGTTTGGAATAAGAACTTTACATCAAAACTTCTAACAGAAGTGAAATCGTGGCATACTCCTATGCTCTATTAAATGCAGGACAGAAGACGACTGTCACTTGGTAGCAAATAATGTCTTTTCCCAATCTGTGCTCATTTTATCAACTGCTTGGAAAGTGGTTAGATCAGAGTATGAGCGACAGTATAAGAGATTCATCCTGATCCTGATATTGATACAGTGTTAGACATAACTTAAATCCTATCATTAACAAGCATTTTTCGTCCAGAGAAGGTATAACTCATAGCTTTTGATCTAAAATGGTAACATAAAAGGTAAAGCAGTAAGAAGCCGTCTCTTAAATACCCTCCTCCATCTACATGGACATAGGACAAAAAAAAATTATTTGCAACTTTAACCCTGTAGAGATTTAACAGTATTAATGGTACGGGCTACCAACAGTGCTACTGTACCATTCAGAAAAATAAGGGCAAGGTATCAGAACCCCTCTCATTCCCAAAAGAAAAATTTTAACTATTATAAATAGCCTAAAAAGGATCACTCAGATTAAAAAAAGAAATGTGACTGTTCAAGATGGGTTTTTTCAATGAAGTTGGCTGAATGCCATTCTACTTATTTCAACAGAAATATCTCGAAACAGTTTAACCCAGAGGTTGGAACACTTTTACTGAAAAGGGACAGACAGTAAATACAGGGTGGGGCAAAAGTTTATAGCTGCAAGTACATGAAACACAGTTTATTCTTGTGTTATTATTTACTAATCATTGTACTATTTTTCCATACAAACAACTGTAAGCCTACATTTGGTCCACCCCATATTTTTTACTTTGATGGCCACATATGGATTGTGTCTCTCTCTCTCTCTCTCTTTTCTTTTACATAACCATTTGAAAATATAAAAGCCAGGCTCCCCAGCCTCTATTCTCTGCCCACCCAGGACAGCTAATTGTACTGGCCTCAGTCTACTTTTCCAAAAGGCCATGAAAGTATAAACAATAAAGCAAGAAAAGTTGGGGGGGATATATATATATAAAAAAAATAAAAAATAAAAGCCATTCTTATCATGCTGGCCCTCCAGCCTGCAGGCAGCTGTGAAAAGTACAATGGAAGTGGGCACATTCTATTTTAGACACCGAAGCTCTGAAGACTGATTTTTAAAATCCTGTGTAAATTTATGAAGCCAGTGGTGTTGTATTCCTATGACACTGGAAAGCACCACAGGTGTAGTTATGACACCACTAAATATGCATTTATTCCAGGGCAGACACAATATACTTAGTAGACCTTATGTTATTTCTCCTAAGAGGTAACAACACATGCCTCTATATTTCAAAAGGCATAAAACAAATCCTTTCCTTTCCTTTTTTTTTACATGCAAAATTGTATCTAGCCTAGCTGGGTAGCTCAGTTGGTCAGAGTGTCGTTTGATAAGCCAAGGTTGTGGGTTCAATCCCAGTCACAGCACATACAAGATTCAACCAGTGAGTGCATAAAGTAAGAGGAACAACAAAAATCGATGTTTCTCTCTCTCCTTTCCCTTCCCCTCTCTGCACTTTTCTGAGGAAGTCTTGAGTTTTCATTATACTCCTAAAGGAGCTGGGTCTGTGACCCAAAAAAGGATGATGAAGCGCTCTAGCTAAACCTCTATAGTAAACATATCAAGGGTGAGAACTTTTTTTACAGTAAGGACCACGATGTCAAAACAAATAAATCCTCATTTGAAGGACACATATATGAACATTAAGGATACTTAGACTTCCTGGGGGGGGGTGGGTGGGAGTTGAGAATAAAAATATAAGAAAAAGTGTTCTATATGTCAACATTCTTAACAAGAAGATTAACTTAAAACTTTGTAATAAAATTGTTTTAAAATGCTTCCTGTGGCCCTTTAGTTATTACTAAGATTTAAAAATAGTAGTAAATTTTTACAACTACAGGTATGAACAATGACCTTGTCTCCTAATAATTTGTCTATACTTAGATGGAAAAGAGGGGGAATCTGTTGTTTCTAACATCTGGTGTTTGCTTCCAACAGTATGTCACCTTATAAACTGGGGATGTTTGTCACTATCTCCAAAACTTGGGAGAAGCAAATAGCAGTTTGTTTATTCATATATTCCATGAAAAATATGATCTTTCTAATCAAATATGGAATCTGCTCATGTGTTGAACTTTTGATATTTACTAATGACAAAAAAAGAGTATTTTCTCTCTACTGACAACTTCTAACAGAGCTATCCCACTACCTGCACCGAGCCAAAATATTCTGGTTGACACCAAACCTAAGGGCTCTTCATTATTTAAGAGTAATTCTGTGAAGACATATGTGGAGACAAAATGTGCGTTGGACATGCATATTAATAGGCAAGACGTGAAGACTGAGAACACCCTCATGCAGCTCTATTTTCAGCCAGGAACATTAGCGCGTTTATAAGATTAAAATTAAAAGTGAGCATGGTCTCTCAAAGTTTAGAAAAGCCACCTAACAAAAGGTTGACTCTTTAATATATTTGTTTTCTCTATCTACTTTCAAATGTTTTAGGACAGTTTCTCATTCTACATAGCAAAATCTTTTGATTATTTGTTAGTGTTTAAGAATAAAATATTGTAGAAAAAATGAAGGAAATTTATCCTTAAGTATATCACTCAAAGCAAACCCTATAATGACTCCTAATCATAGCACTACCCATGACTGCAAAATATTTTTGGAAGCTGCTATGTGGTACAACTTTTCAACAGATCTCTTATCTCTTTCTGAATATAGTTCAGAAAGTAATACCAACTGTGACCACTGAGGGAAAAAAATTCTTTAAATTAACCTTCATTTCCTTTAAAAGCAAGGCTTTGGAAGAGCCAAAAGACATTCTCAGATCCTGATTCAGAAATAATCAACTGGGCCCTGGCCAGGTAGCTCGGCTGGTTAGAGTGCTGGCCCAATACGCCTAGGTTGTAGGTTCGATCTCCGGTCAGGGCACGTACAAGAATCAACCAATGAATGTATAAATAAGTGGAAGAAATTGATGTTTCTTTCTCTAAACAAAGAAATAATCACCCAAACTCTACCAAATGAATGCTTTAGGTAAAAACACACTTGCTGAGAGTGTCATGGAACCTGACTATGGTTCAGCTGTTACTAACACAGCATCTCATACTCTGACATTAAGAATATTATCTTTAAAGTCTTCTAAAAGGCAAAATTGGTTTGTTTTGGTTTTTCTTTTTAATTAAGCAAATATCTGAGAATGAAAACAAAGAAGGTGAGGAACATTCTTGGAAATCATAAACTTTACAGAAATTAGTCCAGAGGTTCAATTTGTAGTTTATTATCCACTCAAAGACTTGGCCTGGGCAACACCGAATAGGTCAAGAATAGCTCTTAAAAATTAAAAGGGGCAGGGATGAGAAGCCTTCCTTTCCCCTACCATATAATATCTCTTTGGAATCAAGCTGGGTTCTTTAATATTTGTTACGTTTATGCAAAAATGACTACTTCAAAGAATGAGGTAAAAACTTAATGGAGAAATGTATAGAAGCAAGTGTTAATTAAATTTTAGTGGTAGCGATCCTGTGATTAGTTTTCATAAAATGTAGTTCAACAAAGCCGTACTGGGTGACAGAGCCAGAGAGAGGAAAAAGAGAATGAGCTGATTTGTAAAGAAATGTCATCATCTGAACTACCCCCTGAGAGCTGGCACCTTACCCAAGCCTTTCCTTGCTCTCTTCTGGAGTCAGCTGATCAAAGGTCTTTGCTTCTTCAGCACCCAAGAAGGCATCATGGTCATAATCAAAACTCTGAGCATCATTGTGAACCTTGTCACTGAGCTGAGGCTCATGATGTACACGGTCCTTCTTTTCTGTGGGCTTGCTCAAGGCAAAGGCTGTGCACAGGGACAGGCACATAAGAAACTGTCTCAGGTCCATGATAATCAGATCTTAAAGAAAAAGAAAGGTGGTTAATTCAATAGGCAGTATACTTAGTAATTTTAGAAGCTCACACGCAGTTCCATTATTGATTTGCTATTATCCCAAATGTTACTTATCCAGAAAATAAGTATGGTAGAATACCAGCCTTTACCATTTTATGGTGAGAAATTTTCACAAATTTCCTTCATCTGATTGTATATTGATAAGGAATTATAGTTAAAACATTCACCTTGTAGTCTCCCTTTTAAAAAACACCAAAGTAGAACTTTAATCCTGTTGCCCAAGTTCTTAAGATTTAAAAGTGCAAGAACCAAGATTTAAAAACAGACCTACTGACTCCAATACTTTTCTTTTTATATTGTACTACATAAATGATCTGGTCTTCAAACCTACCTGGCTGGTAGGTTATTAGAATCACATAGGAAGCTTTGAAATTTTCCCCTATTGAATTAGAATTGAAGTTGAATCCAGGCATTTGTAGTTTTAAAGCTTCTCAGATGATTCTGATCACCACCAGATTAGAAGCCAATGAACTATCTGAGCAGCATCCGTGGCTTACAGCACCATGCCATCTCCCATGTCCAGGCTCAATCTCAAATCCTTTTCAAAGAGCAAACCACTCAGGCGGTACGATGATGAATAACAACTGTTTTGTCACTCTATATATTGTTTCCCAATCTTTCTCAGGCATAAGGACCACCCGGAGTACTGTTCCACATACAGATTCCAAGGCCCTCCCTATTCCATACCTTCAAAATCTCTGCAGTCACAGGTGATTCTAATGAGCAAGCTTAAGGATGGAATATTTTATTAGGGATATATATATATATATATATATATATATATATATATATATATATAGCCAGCCCTGACTGGTGTGGCTCAGTGGATTGAGTGCTGGCCTGTGGCCAGTAAGGTTGCCAGTTCAATTCCCACTCAGGGCCTGGGTTATGGGGCAGGTCCCCAGTTGGGGGCGTGTGACAGACAACCAATCAATGTATCTCTTGCACATTGATGTTTCTCTCCCTCTCTTCCTCTCTCTTTGAAAATAAATTTAAAAAATCTTCAAGAAAAAGAAAAATTTGACCAAAAAATTGCCAAGAAATTTCACAGTAACAACCTGTTTGTAATGCTCTACAGATACACCATAGTACTGTCCACAGAAGTTAAGGTCTTAGAAACCTGTAAAATTAAGAATCAAGGGGAAAGATTTTGCCAGGCTTTCATATTTTAACTAATCCATCAGAAGTCTGAATGACTTCCCCCCTGTGGTGAGAATGAGTTTTTGCAATTTCACATTATCTCTTACTCATTTCCCTTTAGGACCAATGGCTCCTTTCCTAGATGGATAGGTAATTAGGCAAGAGTCCTGTCATGGGTGAACTGTGTTCCCCAAAGATAAACTGAAGTCCTAATCCTTGGTACCTGTGAATGTGACCTTATTTGGAAATAGGATCTTTGCAGATGTAATCAAGTTAAAATGAGGTCACACTGGATTAGGGTGGGCTCTAATCCAATGACTGATTTGAACAAAGACACAAAGAGAAGACAATGCTACGTTATGAAAAGAGGCACAGATTGGAGTGATGCATAGTCAAGAAACCAGAAGCTAGGCAGAGGAAAGGAAGGATCCTCCCCAAGAGCCTTCAGAGAGCCACACCAACACCTTGATTTCTGACTTTTAGCCTCTAGAACTAGGAGAAAATAAATTCTTGTCCTTTTAAGACACTCAGTTTGTGGTAGTTTGTTACAACAGCCCCAAGGAACTAATACAATGTTAGAGGACAGGGGAACACTGCATCACATGTAAGTAAGTGCGTTGCCTTATCCTAAAATCCATAGATTAAACCAGCCAAGGATGTCACTGTCCCCAGGATATCACTAGTGGAACAATTTGGTTTAAGGGATCATGTTATATGTAAATGTTTTTTAAAATATGAAAATTCTTTCAGCATAGCTTCTCGATCCAGTGGTTCTCAATCCAGACTGTACCCTAGAATCAACGGGAGAGTTTTCAGAAAATACAACCATTATATCCCATCTCTATTAATATATTTTTAAAAGATTTTATTTATTTTTAGAGAGGGGAAGGGTGGGAGAAAGAGGAAGAGAAACATCGATGTGCAAGAGATACACCAATCAGTTGCCTCTCTCATGCCCCCCAATTGGGGACCTGGCCTGCAACCCAGGCATGTGCCCTGACTGGGAATCGAACCAGCGACCTTTCGGTTCACTAGCCAGCACTGAATCCACTGAGCCAGGGTTCTATTAATATTTTTAAAAGACAAGTCAGATTAAGAACCACTATTCTAACCAAATTCTCGAACAGCCATAACAGTCATATCTTAAGAAATGTGACCTGAAGGTATATTTAATATGAAGGAACTACGTATGTCTGATCCTGCCTCAAAGTTTGGGAACTAGGATGAAGCATGAGTTGTGCCAGGGGATAAGGAAATTAAATATGCCAATAGGTTAAATATATTTCAATATATCAATTTTTCTCATAACACCAACTGGTAGCTAACAGAAGTTACACCGTATTACCTTGGATTTATAGAGACCTTTGGATTCAATAATGCTAAGAGCAGTTAATGGTGAGTATGTTATATACAGATTCCTTAAAAGTAAAAAGAAAGCAAACAAGACCAGAAATGTAGTGAAGGAGACAAGGGGAAGCAGTCACTTCCCAAGTGCCCATTCTCAAAATGGATGGCTGTTGGATGGTTAAGACTGATGAAACCCATGAACGGAAGCATGTAAAAGCAAGAGCTGGACACCTCTAAGAAGGGAGAAGGTGGTACTTTTCCTAAACTGTTCCCACCAATGTTAGAATTCAGCTAAGCCGCTAAAAGTTTATCAATATTCTGTTTCATGCAATCTGATCAAAACACCCAAATTTGTATATAAAGATATTTGTACACAGGTGTTCAATGACGACAGTTTATAATGATAAAAAATGGAAAGCGAGTAATTAAAAGTACAAATTAGCAGTTACAAAGTAATCATGGGATGTAAATAAAGTACAACATAAGGACTGTAATAAGTAATATTGTAATAACTACGTATGGTGTCAGGTGAGCACTAGACTTATTGGAGGAGATTACTTTGTAAGTTATACATCTAACAACTATGTTGTACACCTGAAACTAAGATAATATTGAATGTTAACTGTAACTGAACCAGGGAACTAGTAAATCTATATTATGGGACACTTACGCAGTGGTTAAAAAGAATGAGGTGAATCTACAAGTACTGAATCTGAGAACTCACCAAGATCCTTATATGAACAAAAGCCCACATACCCACCTACCCATCAAACAAACAAAAAACAATTTGCAAAACAATGTAAGAGCTCATTTATGTAAAAAGCAAAACCAAATAACCTCAACAGGTTGTTTATGTTTGTATAAAACAGGAGTGTAACGGATACATACAAAAAGGGTAGGGAAGGAAAACATCGGTCAGTAAACGGTGGCAACCCCTACACTTGCTGGAGAAGAGATGGGGTGGGGGTCGTGAGGCTGGTGTGACGTGAACTTTAATACTGTCCTCTGCTGTGCTGTTTACTTTTTGTAAATGAGCACACACTCGTGTATATTACCTTTTTATGTCTATTACATTTTAAACACTATTATAAAAACTCTTTTCAATATTAGGTAGCAAAGTAAACATCTTCAAGCCATTTTTTCCAAATACGAAAAGCAGACGAAAGGAAAAACATATCTATTGTTAGCAAAGAAACCTTATTTAAATTTTTTTTTTCCCTTTTATTGATTCTAGAGACAGGGGCAGTTAGGGAGAAAGAGAGGGAGAGAAACAATGGATCAGTTTTCTCTTGCACACACCCTGACTGGGGACCAAACCCACAACCCAGGCATGTGCCCTGACTGGGAATTCTGAGACCTTTCCATTTGCAGGGTGACACCCAACCGAGTCACACCAGCCAGGGCAGAAACCCTATTTTTTAAGTAAAATATATTCCTCTAGAGTAACACTCCAGCCTATGTTCAATAATTTAACTGGTCAATCAAATCAGTGGAACAGTGAAAGGAAAATTAGAGATTTAGTGGCTCTCTTAAACATCAAAGTGAATATGCCTTCACTTTAAGGGAAAATGAGACTTCCACGTCAAACTACTACTAATTTTTTAGACAAATGAAACTCTTTAGAGACAAGTAATAAATTACACATATGTTGTTGGTATTTTATGATATATCTAAACAACATCTATAATGTTAGAGGCTTACAGAATCAAGTAAAATCAAGAGTCAGCCCGAGCTGGTGTGGCTTAGTGGATTGAGCACCGGCCTGAGAACCAAAAGGTCACCAGTTTGATTCCTGGTCAGGACAAATGTCGAGGCTGCAGCCCAGTTGGGAGGTGGGCAACCATTTGATGTTTCTCAATAAAGAAATAAAAATAAAAAAATAAAAAAAAAAGTCAGGAATCATTGCAATAGAGGATTTTCCTTATACCTACCAATAAGGGGACTTCACATTTAGAAAAATTTTATAAATGATTAATTAAAACCCCTAACAATTCTTGCAAAATACTCTAACAATTCTTGCAAACCCCAAATGTTACATTATGAATAAATGCTTAAGCCCACTAACATTATCAAAGTCTGGACAAGATACTATACAAAGTTTTGATACATGTGACATACAGAAATGTTAACAGATTGATGCACTGTGATTTAGAGGGAAAACTACATTTAAGTTTTGAGGCTTAACATCTTGATACAAGATAAAAGAATTTCAGAGTAAAAGCCAAGTGATCTGGTTTTATCATTTAACCATCTCTCTTTCCTAACCCCTCTCAAACTCTTAAATAATACATTTAAGATTTTATTTATTTTTAGAGAGGGGGAGAGAGAAACAGTGATGTGAGAAACATCAATTGGCTGCCTCTTGCACGTGCCTAGACCAGAATGAACCCCCAATCCAGGCATGTGCCCCAACCCTTTGCTCTGCAGCCCAACCAACTGAGCAAAATGGATCAGGGCTC